CGAATCAGCTGAGATCTAGCTACCACATCGTCGGTCAAGGAAGCTGTACCGGACACTGGACATGGCCATTCCTGCAACAAATCTTCCGGAACCCTGGGATTCCGTCCGAATACAAGTTGGCAGGGTGACAATCCATGCTGATTCAACAGCTCATTCTTGGCATTCGTGGTCTGTGCGACGCACTGCTCATATTCTTGCCTATTCTTGGGTTGCACCTGATCTATCACCTTTTGCAATATGACCTCGAACAAATGCCCATGCTTTTCAACTTTACCTAGTTGGGAGTGTGCTTCTGCAGCGCTCGACAGAATGCGAATGCCATCACGCTCTAGCTGCTGAAACACTGTCTCGGCTTGATTCGTGCGAGCAGGGTCGGTGATGACCTCGACTGGCGGCCCAGCCCATCGCTGCCAAGATTCAACGAAGATCCTCCTCAGCACTTCACTTGTTTCCTTCTCGAAAAAGGGGATCATCACTTGAAAACTGGTCGCAAAATCAATGATGTTCATGCATTTCACCTTCTGGTTTACCTCCCATCCTGGCAAGTTCTTCACGTCCCAGCCTACTCGATGGTTAAAATCAACCGGTTTCTCTGGACTAGCTGATAAAGCGGGTGTTGGTCTCTGTCGCTGTCTACAAATGTCACACTGTTCTTCCACTTGTTCAGCTAGCTTCAAAGCCTGACTTGAACCTCCTGCATGTTTCAAGATTCTCAACAAATGTCCTGGTTGACGGATGGCCTAGGTTGTTGTGTAGCCGTCTCAACAAGTTCTGAACCTTCTGTGGATCCTGAACCTCGGCAGCTAGAGCCTCATGAATCGTCCCCTCACTGCTCACTGACTGGTTCATCGGAACCTGCACACATGCGAAGGCACATAACTGTTCTTGTGGCCTAATGCAACTGTACCACGTCCTAACAAAAGCCTTGGTGTATTCTGCTGCTAAGGCACTTCGGGAATTACCTAATCGTGTGTGTCCTACGATTCCCTGATGACTGGAGTGTCCTGGGCACTCCATGGCCAAGGCCTTCATGTCTGGATGCGACACGGCTAGTCCAGTTGGCTTCAACATAGGCATGCCGTTGTCTGGGTCTGTAAGGCCGTAGGCGCACATGTTGGCCTTCTGCACGGTCAACTTCCCAGCCTGCAACAACTTCTGCATGGGTGGATACTTCCAAAGGTCACTTGACCAAGGATGCTCAACGAGCACTCGTCCACCCCTTTTTAGCTGTCTCTTGATCTGGGCCACACAAAAATCTGCCTGTTGTTGTGCCACCCGCTGATTGCGCAGTTGTTCGGTCAGGGACAACTTGTGCTTGTTCAGGCGGTACCATCCGCCCCAGTGTTTGCACTCTGGACAGCAAATCAACAACTCAGGGGACGCCTCCTCGAGCATCGTGTCCACCTTTGTCTGTGTCTTCTTGTCCAGCAAATTCCAGCCCTGTTTAATGTCGAAAGACAAACCCTTGTCTCCTCTCGCTTCCGCCAACTCGCTGAAACGTGGAGGAGAGAACAACTCGGCCACGGCACACTTTGTCCTCTTCTCTTTTGTCCAAGCCTCGTGGTGTGCCAATAGACAACGATGTTCCCTGCATGTCAAGGAACGAGTGGGTCCTTGTACGAACTGCTCTTCACTGTCTGCATGTGGCTTCAACTGTTCAACGTTGCTGTCTGTCTCAACCAACCGTGATGCACAATGCTCAACATTGTAAGGCGACTTGTCAACATTGTCAACACTGCTATCTTCAACCAACAATGTCTCTGTCTCATGGTCGTCCAGCACGTTCAAAATGAACTGTCCGGCAGTATTGGTCTGCAGCTGTTGTGGAGGGCCTCCCTGAAGCTCTACGGTCTCCGCAGCAAAATCCAGCTTTGCCCCCAAACTCTTGAGGGTGTTGCGAGACAGCAGCAAGGGAGCCGAGCCTTTGATGATTGCCGCTTCGATGCGGCCAGGTTGACCATGAATCATCACTGGCATGGAAACCACCTTCTCCGACAGCTCTTCCTGACCATTGCCAAAACGAAACAAATTCTGTTGCGGCCTGCTCTCCGGCATGGTCATCTTTCTCTCCTGATACAGCCTCATGAAATCACCCAACGTCTGTTGGCCAATGAGCGTCCTGCTGCAACCAGAGTCAATGATGCCGTAGCCCGGTGAAGACACCAGCAAAACTTCTTCTGTCACCATTGCCGCACCGCTGACCTTCTCCTTGTCCCCACGACCTGTACTGCTAGAGGCTTGCGGACAGTTGCGAGCCCAATGTCCGATCTGCCCACAGCGTCGACATCGTGATCTCTTCTGGATGTCGGTCAGCTCCCTTGAGAATTGTTTCTTCACACTGGATGCCTGTTTGAACTTTCTTGCCTTCTGCAACTTGGAGATCTCAGTCCTCTTCTCTCGCCACGTGGCAGCGAGAACTTCAGCAATCTCTGACTCGTCGTACACCTCTTGGAAGGAACCCGAAGATGCTGCATCCTGAAATCCATGCTCTGCAAGAAAAGCTTCCACCTCATCAAATACAACACTGTCGGGCCCATCCGCCTCGGAAGGCAGCCCCGTCTCCGGTTCGTCCTCTGTCTCATCATGTTGTACCACATAGGCAGAACTGCTTTTCATGACTCGTCGGCCTGCCTTGAAATCAGGAAAACAGCTCCTCATCGCCGGCATGATGTTCTCCATCTTCAAGTCTCCCTGGGTCTTTGCAGTCACAATTGCCCGTTGATCAGCAGACAGCCCTGAGGCGTTGAGACACACCCATCCCCGCGCCTCGGCGGGAAAGTCCACCTGAACCTTTCTGCGACACTTAGCGAAGGCCTCCTGAACCCGTGAGCACCATGCCACTATGGTTTCACCATCCTGAGCATGCAACTCGAAAATCTCTTTGAGACGCTCGGCCATGTGGTCATGAGCCAGTTTGTCCGGAAATCGTTCGTCCAGACATTGCCAAATGTGCCTGTCTCCTTTTTTTTCTCTCATTTTATCCAGAGTGAGGTGTTCCACCGTCTCCAGAGCCAACCCATCCAGCAGACAAAACACAAATGGACCTCTCTGTGTCGCAGACATGTCCTTGGTGGCGGCCATTTTGGCCAGAGCCCACAAGCGCCATCGCCTGTATTCCTGGGGATCCAGCGTCTCTCCACTGAATCTCCTTTGTCCTCCGTACCCGTCAGAGGAAGCGGCCATGGCACCTATAAAAGACACTGCTTTTCCAGTGCTCAATCCTACCTAGGATCTACACTACCCCGGATGCCACCCACACTTAAGTGGGTGGCTCCGCTACCAATGTCGAAACTAGGGACTTCAATGTCCCAAAACCTAGGGAACCTACCCTCTTCCCTTCGGCGCCCTTTTGACGCTCGTCCTAGAGCCCAGGTTGCCTGTAGTCGCGAACCTTCCGGAATCCTATACATGAGACACTGCTTTTTCAATCTTTTTCATATATATATATATATATACACGAATTCATATTTCATATCTCATTCGCATGTTCATCATTTGAGCAAGTGTTTCTTGAATGCACCAGCCTCGGACAAACTTGCATTGCAATCATAGCATTGCATAGCCAAAAAATCAATCCAACAATATGACATGGACGGAACGAGAATGGTTCTTTCCGAGTCAAGTTTCTACAATTATATTATACAATTGAATAATAGATTGTTGAGTTCATCTTTCCTCAACTGCTGGGCGTTTGCAGTACGATCATGCCACCGCAAGCCCTCAGCCAAGGTACAGCCAACCAATCCGGGAGAAGGCGAGTTCCACAGTTGAGTTTTTGCATATGCTTTGAATCGATCCTAATGGACATGAAGGTCATTCAAGTTCCTTATGGTTTGATACACTCAACACGGGTCAATCACAAGTCGATCACAAGTCGATCACATTCGGACGAATGGTGAGGTGCGCAGCGGCGAGTTGGAGATCCAGGGAGGGGTCTATGACTTGAAGTCGGGGCGCGTGGAGCTCCCTGGCATCACTTCGAGCGACTTTTCATCCCACTCTCCCAATGTCTACCATCCCGATCTTAGTCTTTTGAGCAGACACTCTTGAGTCTTGAGAATGATAGAAGGTGACAGACCATAGAAAGGTGTTCTTGCCTCTGGAAGGGGCTGAGAGAGATAGATAGTTTACAGATGTTTAATTTTGTTTCTGATTTGGCTTCGTGGTGTCCAGCAGCTCTTGATCTCTGCAGGGATTGGTCTTGTTTCTAGATGAGGTTCTTGGGTCAGAGCCCAATGCAGTCCAAGTTGGTGAACTCCACGACCAAAGCTGCGCCATCATTGCAGCAAGCGATTGGCGGAGCATGAGCAAGATCGCAACATAGACGCTTTTGCCACGCTCGTCCAGGGGTTTTTCAGGCATTTGAGACCAGGTTGAGCAAAAGGGACAATTCACGATCTGAGTCAGACTCAGAACATTTTTCGATCTTTTTCGAGTTGCAATAGTTGATTTCGCTGCACAAGAGATTGCAGCTCCTGCATCTTCCAGAGTGAAGGAATTCTCAACTCGCCCTGAACCATCGGCCCTTGTTCACCTTTTTGGTGGGTCAGTCGGTGGGGGAATGTGGCGTTGAGGAGAACCATGAATTTGCTGAGCATTATTGAGCTGTTGGGGGGTCCCTGGTGCACAGACGCTAACACCCCTCAGCAACTGGAGACACCACGAATCTCCAGAAACGCTTAGGCTGAGAGA